TGAAGAGTCAAAGGGAGCAGTGAAAGGGGGCAGTTATTAGATGCGAGGAGAGACTTAGGAGGGACAGTTTAGATCTGCTGTGGAAGCGGGCTTCAGTTACCGTCCCCGCCCGCGTGGACTCTCCAAATTTTGGATGTTTTGACTTTTTTGATTTCTTCTTCTTCTGCGTCATCTTCCAATCTGTTCTTTGCTTTGCTTTGCTTGTAAGTTGTAAGCACTACGTTTATTTGTACACCCCCCAAAAAACAAAAAACAAAAAAAAAATTCCAACTAAGGCATATGCAATGTGTGTCCAACTAAAAATGCTTTTCGGTGAATCAATTTTATATAAAATTTTTGTTACTAAAGCAAATGGTGGTATTTTAACCTTTTTTTTTTTTCCATCAAATGATAGTTATTTTAGTAGTTTCAATACTTACTATCAGTCGATCATTTTGTCAAGATGTGTTTAGATGAGTTTTGGTTAAAAATAATCAAATTTAGTTATTTTAGCATTTTGTGTAAATAGTGAGTAATTTTCAGGAAAGTAAAGTTGAAAGTATATAAAGTGACAAAAAAAATATTTATCCCAAAACTCCATCTCTTCCTTTATATATATATATATATATATAGAGTATAGATTAATATATTGGTTTAACATGGGGCATTTAACCATCTTGCTCTTTTCCATAAAGGTTTGCAAAAAGACTTGCTTTATTTTTTGGATAAATCTTCTTGAGTTTGAGACTAAATTATTTGACTAAGAAGATTCTGCTCAACAAAACCCCCCCCCCCCCCCCCAACAAAAAAAAAAGAAAAAAAAAAAGAATCTAAACTCTTGCATTACAGAATTGTGGAAAGAATACATCCATGCGTACGGCCGTATTCTGCATGCGAAGAGATGTCAGTTTAGCATAGGATGAAAATCACAATCAGCTTTTGCAAATTACATAAATATTAGAAAAAACTAAACAAAAGAAGGAAAATGTTTTAGCGACGTGTCCGGAGTTGACTACTTAGCCAATCATTTCCATTTAGCATATTACGTGTAATTTAAACCATATCCACAACACCCAACTTCAAGCTTACACCATTTTTTTCAAAAAAAAAAATCCTGAATAACTTGAAGCTGTCAAGGGTTCTCAATTCTCAAAGACGTACGTACTAACAAACATGTTGACCTTATTCAGATGCCCGCTCTGCTACTGCTACATATTTAGCTGCGTATTCATTTGTTTTTTAGTCAGCGAATTGGAAATTATTATTTTATTCCGGCGGAGGAAAAGGAGTGGGAGTAGTTTAGACCAGTCTAGTCTAGATAATGTTCTAATAAGTAGTTTTATGGAGGAATCATTCTAAGCTAAGCATTCTCGCACTACATAACACCTATTTTTTCTGCATAGTTAGTATTCAACATCTATTATTTTTGTATTACTCCTATAAAAGAATGCTTATGCATTTTCCATAATTCTACGTGGTGAGAGAAGAAGTCACAAATTGATTATAATTATTATAAGAAGGGATGAAGGGGAATGGAAGTATGTATAAAAGTTTAATGCATATTTTTGTACTTGAAGAAAAGTCCTGAAATCCAATCAAAGTTGCCCCATGTGACATCGACGCGCCACGATCACTAAACAAATACACTACTCATCAAATTAATTAATGATCCTTGGCCCCAAAATGCTAAACATCTAATTCCATCTCTAAGCACACCTATAAATTGCTCCTCGCTGAGTTTCTAACGTAATTGCACCAAACCATCCATTTGTTTAAGCAGGCTGCAATATATCATCAAATTCAAAGGGTTCTCTTCTTCTTTTCTTTTTTTTTTTGTTTCCTCTTTTTAATTTTTAATGTGCCCGGGTGGAAGGGTAATTAGTAGTGGGAGGAGTTTAATTGCGGATGGGATTGGGAGGTTAGTGGCTTAGTGCTTTGACCTTTTCAGTTCCAACCTTCCTATTCGTCCATATTACAGCTTCACTTTTCAGTGAAATGACCACTAATCAAGCGACTAGTGCTTAAAAGTTATGCACAACCATAATTTGATGGTAGAATGATACTAGCATCAATGGAAATCAATCTCGATTATTGTTCCTGAGCTATGAAGTCACGTGTCAAGTAATTGTTGGACCAATTAGTGGCTGATTTGGTAAATTAATCAGCCAGCTCGTTCTTTCACTGTATCCCGGCTTCAAGTGGTCCATCAAACTGTGGGACATTTAAACACAAATAAGATAAATAAAAAATAATCATGCTTTTGCTAATAAGATGGAGTAGTAAAAAGTTGTGAATTGTAGAGAGAATATAATCACCATACGGACTTCCCGATGCTGCCCATGAAGGCGCTGTTACAAATAAGCTGCTTTCATCTGGCCAATCATTTCCGTTTAGAACATTAGATGTAATATCAACAAACATGTTGACTTGTTCAGATGTTTGCTACCATATACCTAGCAATTTCCAAAACTTTTTTGCCTGCTTGATGATTAATTCATACTAGACTAGATGGTAATGTCCACTTATAGAGTATCAAACATCAAACTTATAGCATTGCTTTTCTGATTGAATTCCAATCAACATTATGCTGCAAGTATGTATGAACGACATATATCTAGTGTTACAAAAGAATGCTTATGTAACTATCATAAGGGAACGGAAGTCACAAATTGATATCATAATAGTTGAAGTCATAATGACCACTTTAATCAAAGTATTTAATCATTAAAAATAGTAAAAGTTAGCGGATGAAAAGTGTCACTGTAAGGTGGTTAGGAGAGGATTCTTAGAGCGCTCTCTACTGTCAGGTTTAAAATTCAAATCTTGTTTCTGACAGTTGAGAAAGGAAAATGCGTGAAGAAAGGTATTTAAAAAAATGTGTGGAGGGGGGTGAGAATATATTTTTGAAAAAAAAGTGTCACTACAAGGTTCTTAAGAAAAATTAGCCCCAATTAATTATTGAAGGGTACAAATTAACCCTATCACGTAGGTATTGAAAAAAAAAAAAACTATTCAACCAACAAGAATTGTAATTTCTGGAATTCATATTAATCACCAACCCCCTAAAACAAGTGGTTACAAATCAAAGATCCAAACAAGACCTCAAATGATTAACCACATTGAGAGATAATATTATTATTATCTAAATGAATCTTCTACTGGTGGAATGATAGAGAAAAATGAAGTCCCTCTCTCTCTCAATGTTCATCTTCATGTTCAACGTGCTGCAGGGTGCAGTGTAACGTCTGTCTGTGTTTCAGATGGATTTAGTAAAAGTATCCAGAGAGAAATGCGTACAACAAATTCCAAAATTGTAGGTGGAAATTTTAAAGTGGAAAATAAAACAGTGATAACGATCAAAATTGAGGGTTTCCAGAGAACAAAAAACCTTTGTTATTCAATAAATACAAAAAGTTACTTGCACTTCAAGAGAATCACCAACCTTCAATTCCCACCAATTAGTCTTGTTGGATTCGCCGTTGTGCATTTAAAAATAAAATAAAAAAGAAACGTATTTCTCTCTCTCTCTTTTTTTTTTTCCTTCCACAAATATAACCGAACATAAAAATTCAAATATACCCATGTCATTTTCCATTAGTCTTGTACTAGATGTCGAGGAAGGACTTAGCATGAGCACAAAAGGAAACAAAATGCGAATAAGGAGATAAGAAGATTATTTGAGGGATCATGTAAGTTTATGAAATAAATATTCCTTCTTTTTTTTTTGCCTTCCTCTAAGAGAGGAGGCCAAATGACAAGACAAGAATCCAGTTGCCATTTATGGCAGGTCATAAACAATTTCACAGAGCCGATAAATAATGCCTGGAATTAGTGTGTTTGATCTTTGCTGAAAGAAAGAAAGAAAGAAAGAAAGAAAGAATCAAAAGTAAATGGTTTCCTGATAGGAATCACATGCAGCCGGTGTTTGTGGGCCAAACATGATCGATTGCCACTCGATTACAGACAAAGCAACAATGTCACTGTTACAATAACATTTACGTCCAAATTCCACACAACAACACGCTTCTCCACCTGCTCAATTGCTCCCATATTTCCATTTTCCATTGACGATTATTGGACTAAGAGCCCCACACCACATGCACCAACATTTTTCACTTTTCCTTTCTTTCTTTCTTTTTTTTTTGGTTTTCTTTTCTAGTTGGAATGGAAAGATATGTTCTGTAATTGCAGTCGGATTTGAGCATGTGCATGTTAATTTCGATCGTGGGAAAAGCAAAAAAAAAAAAAAAAAATTCATTCATTTTGTCGAGCATAAGGATTGATCAAATCTGGTAGTTGAAGCTGTTTTTCTGGATCGACTGTTAATTCTTTCTTTTGATCATAAGGATTAATTCTTTCTTTCTCGACATGGATTGATAGCTACACGATATACTCGACTAGGATTTTGATCATCTGCGCCTCATTCTTTCGGGCAAAGGCTTGGTGGGAATCGGCAGTTTATGGGTCGTGTTGAATAGAGATCACATGCGTGGTCCATGAGGGAGAAGGGGACCATAGCATAGCATAGCATTGATTTACAACTTTTATAACAGAGGCAGCATACTGATACTATTGACGCCGTTATTAGTGGGTATCATCATTATCAGTATTGTGAAATTTTTTGTTTTTGTTTTCTTGACCAAAGTAAGAAAATCAATTTGACTGTGAAAAATGAAAAATAAGAAAGAAATGAGAAAGAAGGAATCTCGTACCATTTATTCTCCACCATGATGTTGCTGTCAAAAAGCTTGACAAAACGTACGTATTAAATTGGTTAGATTATTGTTTACTGCGGACGCTTCTACTTTTCGCTATAAAACCAGTGACAGTAGTAGTATTATGAAGATAAATTCTCCACTTAATGGCGAGAAAGCAATTGTTTAAGATTGTGATCTCAATAAAAGACACGATCAAAAGCTATCATTTAATCTCATGAGTTTTGGAAACGAGGAATTGCAAGTAGAGAGTTCTGGGTTCGTTCAAGACGTTCTGCTTACCGGGGGAAAAAAAAAAAAAGGCTCATGAGCTTTATATCATTTCCAAATCCAAAATCCGAGTGGCTTTCATCATGATGCTAAGGTTAAAGAGGACAAGATTAATTTGATTATTGTCTAATCCATAGGTAATCAGACGATGTTTTATTTTCTTTGCCCTGATGGAATGAGTTAGCGCATCTTGATGATGATCCATCATCCACTTGCTCGGAATAAAAAGTTGCAGAGTCTTGGCAAAAACTAATTGGGCTGACACAATGAACACTTAGGCCTACATTTCTTGGACATTGACAGCCCAGAAGAACAATTAGAGTTCCGGCTGCTTGAAACTGTCACCCCAAGGGCTTGCCCATATCAATCCTGCACAGCGGGACTAGGAAACCACGCTTTCAGGATTTCAACTTCCAAAAAGGCTGTTCCGGACCCACGCCTTAAGCAGCAGTTTATTATATTCAAGGATTATTTGACCATTCATTCCGATAAGTGACAAACCTATCTATGACTCCAGCTGAAACGGCCGACGGAGAAGAGAAAGCGAAGAGAAAGGGGAAAAGATTTTCATATTTCTCTCTGATAACTAGAGGTTAGGATTATCATCTTAATCCGCTGATTAACCCTAATCTCAATGATATAACGCATGTCCTCGGGTGCTTAATTTTATTGTTTTCTTAATTGGAAATAATTTTACCTATTTGTGTTTCTTATGATTTGCAAGAGATATATACTTGTCGTTGAAACTACATGTACTATTAATTGGGGCTCTGCTTGATTGGAATCGTTTTAGTCTCAGCTGAGGTCTTTCTTTCTCTAATTCAATTTGTTCTTCCTTTTTTTTTTCTTTTTTTTTTTTGTTGCACTTTTTTGCTTTTCTCTTGATGACTATGTATCCCGCCAATTATGAGGGAAATTTCCACAATTTGGTGAAATAACTGATAATTTGTATCGGGTTTTCCCTTATGATTCAATTTGTATAGTTTATTATTACCATTCACGGATCAAAGTCAGTTCTTTAAAGTGGCTGGATTACAGTTGCTTTGCCGAGATGTGGTCTATTTCCATATTATGGGTTCGTTTCATAGACATGGATTCATTGGATGACATGACTGATCATGGATGAGTGAATGAGGATTAATTTCGGAGTATTAGGCCCTGTAAATTGTATTTTTTTTCCTTTTTCTTTTTCTTGCTGTCATTTTGTACTCAATTTACCAAAATTACCAGTAAAAAGCCAATGTCTTAGATAAAAATTTGATTGTATATTGGTTCTGATGCTGATTTTCTCCTCGGGAGTACTTGTAGCTGATGATGATGACGTATTGGTTATGCACTAGTTTGATGGTTTTGCTTGCTTTCTGTCTGCTATGGCGAGTGGTACTCTGGTTAGTCAATCGCAAATAAGCTTGAAATGTGGTCATGGACTCGTGTGGCTGAACTGTTCTTTTCTAGGTGTCTGATGTAGAATGTGAATCTTCTTTATGAAGTAAAAGTGATTCTAGCTTCTAAGTTGGGAGTTCTTGTACTAGGTCCTCAGTGTGCAAGATTAGTGAAGCTAGTCTAGTGTCATCTTTTACATGTTCCGTTTTATGGTTTTTGGCGGATTCACTGATGCTGATCATTTTGAAGTTTGTTTTGGGTAAGAAAAGAGGTTCTGGAACTTATGTAAAGCTGCGATTTTGTACATTCATTTGCTGCCTTGCAACTAAGCATTCCTTCTTTTACATGTTCTGTTTTGAGGTTTTTGGTGGATTCACTGATGCTGATCATTTTGAAGTTTGTTTTGGGTAGGAAAAGAGGTTATGGAACTCATGTAAAGCTGTGATTTTGTACATTCATTTGCTGCCTCGTAACTAAGCATTCCTTCTTTTTATTGTGGATTTGGCTTGATTAATGCTCCTTGTCACATCTTGCCACTTTCGATTTAACTATGCTTACTTGAATGACTTCCTTGGATTAAGATTCCTACAAGGATCCCAACCAACATTTTTTTGGCACTTCTGAATTTTTTCATTGCCATCAAGCTTTTCCTTTCTTTTTACCTGATAAAAGTATTTTTTTTTTAATTTACTTTTGAAAAAGCTTTTCTCATTCTTTCTGTCTTCCCTGTTCCCCTCTCTATTTGATCTTAGGAGTTCCTTCTAATGGAGATCCGAAGTTGACCAATTATCGGTCTTCTGCTCAATATGATGGATAAATTGGATACAAAACAGGCAGAACTAGGCACAAATTGGGAGAGGTCATTTCATCTATATGAAACTGTGATTGCAGGTGATGAAAAATCTAAGCGTATCCAAGCCACCTTCAAGCTTGGGCGCATGTCCAAACATGCACCTGAAAATATTTTAGCTTGTGCCATACCAGTCCTTGTGGAGCTTCTCAGAAGCCCATTTGACAATCAGACTCCATCCATTCACGGAGCATCTGCCTACTGCTTAAAATGCATTGCTTGCTTAGGGGAAGGTAGATTGGCTGTAATCATCGGCCAGTGTGGGGCAATTCCTTCCTTGTTGAGCTTATTACAAGCTTCAGAAAGCAACCTGCAAATGGTTATTTTGAAATGCCTTCGCAACATGGTGACTTTCAGTGATAGTAATCGCCCGGCTGTAGTTAGAAATGGTGGTTTGGAAATTGTTCTCAATATGTTAAATGCTAGTCCTGACGGATTAAAAAGGCCTTTATTGGAAATTTTGAGTGCATTATCTCTTTTGAGAGACGTTAGAAGGGTTAGAAGGGTACTTCTCAATTCAGGTGGCCTTCGTTTTCTTATTGAATCAGCAAAGTGTGGCAGCATGGCATCTAGAACTAGAGCTGCTCAAGGGATTGGGTTGCTGGGATTGGTTAAAAGAGCCAGGCGTACACTTGTTAATTTTGGGGCAGCGGCAGCACTCCTGGACTTGATTCAGAATGGGGATACTTCAGCTAAATTGGTAGCTGCTAATGCACTTGGTGTGATTTCATCGCACGTTGATTATATTAGACCAGTTGCTCAAGCTGGAGCCATCCCAGTGTATGCTGAGATTCTCGAGGGATGTGAACCATTAGGCAAGGAGATTGCGGAGGATGTGTTCTGCATATTGGCTGTAGTTGAAGAAAATGCTGCTCCAATTTTTCAGCACCTGGTTAGAATCCTAAGAGGAAGTAATGATGAAGCTAAGGCAGCAGCGGCTGATATTACATGGCATCTGGCAAGTTACAAGCAGTTGGTGGCTGTCGTGCAGGACTCGGGTGCAATTCCGGCGTTAGTTGAGCTCCTGAGGAGCGGTAATGGTGATGTTAAGGAAAAGGTTTCTGGGGCCATTGCCCAATTCAGTTACAATAAGTCTGGGAGAGTAGCTCTTGCTGATTCAGGAGTGATTCCATTGCTTATTCAGATGTTGGAGGATGAGTCTCAGGAACTGAGAGAAAATGCTGCTGAAGCACTAGTCAATTTTTCAGAGGATCCATCACTAGGTGATAGAGTATCGTGTGTGTTGGATAGTCCTTTATTTCAGGATACGCAGGATAAACTGATGCAAATTCGTGCCTCTGATGCACGCTTGGATTCATCTTTGAGACTGTTGAGCATCGAACACCTCACTTTGGATCCTAGCCTTTCCTAATTTTTGTCCTTTAAAGGATCTCTGTAAATCGAGTTGCAAATTGGCAACGCATGTACATATTCAGTAAGAGAATGTCGGTCGTCTACAACCCGTTTTGGCAATCAAAAAAGATGAATGCTTGTTCAAGACAGTTTGTGCAGTTTTTCCTTGTCCATCCTGCGACCGTCTCTAACTAGGGATAGACCAATATATGTTGTCATCTTATCTAAGATTTTAAATCGTTCTTTTTCACTTTCCTCTTGACTCAAACAGCGTCCGAAAGACCAAAAAAGTAAGAGAGAATCATTGCACTTTCAAAAGAACCCCCCTCCATTCGATCGTTGCAAAAAAAAAAGGGATTGAATACGCAAACGTTTGCGCACTTTGTCGGCCACAAATAAAAAATTTTACAAATAAGGTTGCTGTATATGCGAATTTGCATGCATGGCCGGCATTGAAACTAGTAGCACATTTCTTTTCTCAGATGACGGACTCACATTTAGTTAGAGTATAACAGCAAACAACTTTGGCAGGGCCTCCTAGGTAATAATCCACAACTCTCACACCATTAGAAATGTTTTCGACCGACTGTCAATCCAGCAGGAAAAAAACAAATTTAGTCTAAGAAAATACTAATGTCATTTTACTGGAAGTTGTCATTTATTTGCACCTAATTACAAAGATGGAATAAATTGTAGAGAGAGAGAGAGAGAGGGGTCCCGGGGTGGTGGGATGTTTGTAATGATGTGCATTTTCAATAGATTTGGTTGTGGGAATTGGTGGTAGGACGATGGAGACAGTTGAGATAAGAAGATTGAATTTCAGTTGGCATTTTCACTTCTTTGTAACGAAAATGCAACGAAGTTGTGTTAAGCTTGACGTTAAAAAACAAGAAAAAGAAAAAAATTGACTATAAGGGCCACGTGAGGATGGATGGAAGTATGTGTTCATTTTTCTCCTGGCGGCCGACTCATTATCGCAGTCCTCTGCAAAGGTTACAGACAATTGCTGCTCGTATTCCTGGTTGATATATCATTGATAATGATCAAATTACTGATTGATGTGCAGAAGTTGCCACATTGTAAAATGCCAGCCGGCGTCCTGATCGCTCCGGTGCCACCCACCCACGTAAGACTCGACGTCCACTGGCTGGCTGTTTTTTCTAAGCAATTTCATTTCATGTTGAAATGCTTTTCTGAAAATCTTTGCTCCTCTGGTGCCATGAGCCAAGTAAGCTGGATCAAGAGAAGGAGAAAGAAGAAGAAGAATAATAATATCGAGTTCCATTCCAAGATGAAAATGCACGGAAGGACACCAGCAGTGGGATCGGAGTCAGCTGTGTTTTGACTATATTCTCAATAGACCAATCGCATGATAGACTGCTGGTGGGTCATCCTCCCAGCAGCACACCAAATTACTAGGAAGAGAACCCATTTTTGTCTCGTCATACAAGGAAAGATATTGCTCAAATTTCAATCCATGCTATTTATGTTCCCAAACCAAAAAAAAAAAAGAAAAAAGAACCTATCTCTTTAGCTGTCAAACCTTCACTGCACTATCCTAAGTTAGTTAAAACGGCCTTGGATTTTTTTGGCACATTTGGTTCAAGAACTAATTTAGGACTAATTAGAATTTAGGCCACAAGTTCAAGCACACCCAGAAAACAAGTCCAAAAAAAAAAGGACTAAGTTATTGACTATGTGAAAGTTAGGAATAAAATCAAATTATAAGTATTTGAGTCGAAACTTTTCAAACTAATAAACAATAACCATAATAATCAAAATAAATAATAAATAGTTATTCGCTCCGTTCCATAAAGATAGTCCTTTTCTAAAGAGTAGTTAGTTTGCTACTTTACTAACACGCCCGTATTTAATGTACATAGTTATTAGCAAATGCCCTACTCCATTAGTTGATTATTCTACTTTGAATATTAAATACAACACTAACAACTACTTTGATTTACCATTTTTGTAAGATATAGCAAACGTGTGTCTCTTATTTTGAATGAATGATCTAATATTAATAAGAGGTATTTGAGGAAAGTATAAAATAAAAAATAATTATTGTAACTACGTTAACTAAATTTCTTAATCTGTCTGAAAAAAGAGACGGAGGGACTATAATAAATGACATTTGAGGTTAACTTGATTGAGGAGGTCACAAAATAACGAAGTTTAACGAACCTGTCGTTAGTCACTGAAACTTCGAGGAATACATGCACATAATTTCCAAGAGATTCTAGCCATACTCATTTGCTCAACATCACTTGCATATGATCATCCTTATAACTTGTTAAAAACCAAACAGCAGTACATACCCCTCATGAGCTCCATTCCTCTTCATTTCCTTTTCCCTAAGAACCTCATAGAGATGGAGTAGCGCTGTTTTTACTTGTTACAGGAAGCCCAAACTCTATTGCTAGCTACTTTGTCTTTCCAGTCCCCACATTGGTGCCAAGTGCTATTCAAATGTACATGGGATGGCCTATGAAAATTCTAAAAGCAAAATCTTGCAAAAGTACGATCACGAGCACCCCTAACATTCCGAGTGGATCCCATCTTTCAATAGAAATTGGGGACACTTCTGTTCGGGATCCCGTCCTGTCCTCATCAGCTGGTAAAAATCAAAATGAGCAAGATCAAGTTGATATGCCGTATTTCTCTGTTAGTCCAGAAAGACTAGCAGAACTTGTCGAGAGCAATGGCCTGAACTCTCCTGATCATCCTCGTCCGACAATCCAAGAAATCGCTGAAGCTTTGCGAACCAGCATTGATTCTGGTATAACAGGAGACGAAAAAGATCTTGATTGCAGAATCAAAACGTTTGGTTCAAACCAAGAATCAGACAACCAACCCAAACTTGGGACTAAAGGCTTAAACCGGCTAGTCTTGGAAGCTTTCAAAGACGGCACGATTATCCTCTTAGTGTGTTGCGCAATTCTTTCTCTCGTGATTGATGTCAAGAGATATGGTCCAGAAAAAGCATTCCTTGATGGAGCAATCGTTTGTCTTGCGATGTTTGTTGCTGTCAACTTTGGCCATATCTTTAGATTCTTACAGCAAAAACGTCTTCTCAAAAAATCACAGAAGCACCAAAAAGGTGTTAATGTTGTGCGCCGGGGAAAGATGCAGGAAATACCAGCTTCTCAAGTGGTGGTGGGTGATGTAGTCTTGTTGGGGACTGGTGCTCAGGTCCCTGCTGACGGATTATTCATTGATGGATCCTCATGCAAGCTTGACGATGGTTTGTTTGAAAGAGGGGCAAACTATGCCAGCATGTTTACGGGTGCAAAGGTGGTGGAAGGAAACTGCCGGATGCTCGTGACATCAGTTGGGAAAAACACAGAAATAAGCAAGTTGATTAATATGGTATCAGTCGGCAATCAAAGAAAGCTCATGGATTCCAAGCTGCAGGATGGTATTGACCGATTGAACTCTCGTTTGGAGAAGTTATGGTTGAGCCTCTCCTTATTGATTCTCATGGTGCAGGTGCTTAGATGTTTCGTGTGGAAATGTGCGTGTGATGAAAGTCATAATCCAGACCCCAAGGGCGTAAAGAACACGGTGGAAGAGATAGTCGATGAATCAACAAAACTCTTGAAAAAGCAAGGTGGAAAAATCAATGGATTGGTGAGTATGCTCTGCATTCTACTCTTTGCAACAAGAGATGGCTTGCCCCTAGGGATTTTCATTTTGTTCTTCGTTGTATCAAAGAAAATGAAGTTTTTCAGTGCCATGATTCAAAAGCTTTCTACATGTGCCACACTTGGCTTGGTAACAACAATTTGTCTTACCAAGACCAGTGATTTAACCATGAAGCATGCAGAAATGGCCGAGGTGTGGATTGGACTTAACCACATCAAAGATATTTCTCAAGAAATAAGTGGCCAAGTCCTCGGGAAATTGCAGGAAGCTGTTTGCATGAATTCTTCCGGGGGTCAAATCGAGGATTCTCTCCTTTATTGGGCTCAACAGGTGCTTGATGCGGACGTGGATGACATGTACAGAAACAGTGAAATCCTTCACAATGGACCCGTTGATCGTGAGAAGGATCAAAACTTACTGGTTCTGAAGAGGCTTGAAGAAAAACAGGAAATCTTGGATCTCCACTGGAGAGGACCTCCAGATTGTATACTGCCTCGGTGTTCTAAATATTACGAAGCAGATGGAACCATGCAGGCCCTAGACGAAGGAAAGAGAGCCATGTTCGACAAGATAGTTGAACAAATTGCATCTTCTAATCTCCCGAGCTTTGCTTTTGCTTGGGAGAAACTGATACCTGAGGAACCAGAAACTCCAAAACCGGAGAAGGAAGGGTATCTTGATGATGAGAAAACCCTACAGGTTGATCATGGATTGACCTTGATTGGCCTCGTGTACTTGAAAAATCCGTATCCACCTGAGGTAAGGCAGGCAATCAAAGCTTTGCGGGACTTGGGAGTGAATACCAAGTTACTGGTGGATGACAATCCAAAGGCAGCAAGGATCATGGCCATTCACTCTGGAATCTTGAGGCGTGAAGATGACAGCGAATTAACTGTCATTGATGGCTCAGACTTTCGGAACATTTCCGAGGAAGTTCGCATGAACATGATCGATAAAATCCAAGTGATTGCAAATGCCTCCCCTGCCGATAAACTCCTAATGGTGCAGTGCCTGAAAAAGAAGGATGAGGTGGTGGCAACCGTCGGTTCATGTATAAGAGACTTTCCATCTCTTGTGAATGCTGATGTTGGAATTTTCATGGGAGAAAAAAATGCAGAAATAGCGAAAGACTATGCGGATATTGTTGCAGGGCTGAGTATTGCTACAGTTGGTAACATCTTAAGGTTGGGAAGGTATGCATGTCAAAGTATTGAAAAGTTTCTGGAATTGCATTTGACTCTAAATATTTCTGCCTTCACCACAAATTTGATATTTGAAGCTTCCTCAATTGAGGTGCAACTTTCTTCGATTCAGCTCCTTTGGACAAACTTAATCGTGGAAGCTCTCGGAGCATTTGCTTTGGCGGTATTGATGGTAGAAATGGAACCATCAAAAAGCACTCAAAGTCAAGGGAAGGATAGGAAGAGTCCACCACCGGTTTTCGGTGCCGGTCCAGTTATAACCAAGACCATGTGGAGGAATATAGTCATCCGGTCTATGTTTCAAGTCGCAATCTTGATGGTCC